ATCACTGTCTTGGGTCTCTAGTTGGTCTTAACCCACTCATACCACAAATGTTTTCCCTTTCCTAAAACTCCTACGTAGATCTAACTCCGCCCGTAATTCCTAGGGAACGCATGTCGCATAGTGGCATTGCTATCTTGGATCTTCGACTGGTCTTAACCCCACTTCCTCTCACTGAGATTAAAAAATCATGCCACTTCAATGTAAAACTAACTTTACCGGCAATTCCCAAGGAATGCATGTTGCATATTATCAATTCGATGTTGAAAGTCATCCAACAAACCAATTCATCACTGATGAGGTAAAATCCCGACACAAGTTTCTTCTTCTTCCATAACATGTGACTATTCATGCAGTATGAAGGTTGCACAACTGTGCCAAAAGACAACAAATCTGAAAGTCATGACATCCAAATGATGTCATGACCGACACACCACTACAGTAACAGAAGATCCTAAGCATGCTCTGAACAAACCACGCTTTAATACCAAACTGACATGCTCGACCTTGATATTCTCCCAAACACCAGGGTAGGCACGTGCTAGCCGTCACCCGGAGCTGACGAAGCCATTCTAACATGCATGAGAACAATGAATATGAATAAAATAATAGAAATTTAAATATAAAGAATATGCAATTAAGGAACATGTTCAGAGCATACAACTAACTAGAATATTAAAAGAAATAATATAAAATTGAATGAGCAAAGGAATGGGTCTTACACCGAGAGGACTCGAAGATGCCAATGCGGAAGTACCCTGACGCCAAGATTATACGCCTCAATTCTAAATCCTAAGGGGGCACAAAACAAACATGAGTGGACCAAGTTGATATATATATATATATATATATATATATATATAATACTGAAACAGTTATTCAATAAAGTACTAACCCCCAAAGTTTTCTGAAAACTAATAGCATAATATGTGATAGGTTTTCTGAAAACCCTAGCATGCCATAAAACCTTTCATAAAACATATGTCATATATAGTGTACTAACTAGTGGTATCAGTATTGCCCAAAGGCATATAGAACTCTTCCTTTAGAACAATTCCTTCACAAGTATCAATCGCCCGTAGGCTCCTACAGCACCCAACCCGTAGGTCAATATAAGTATCAATCGCCCATAGGCTCCTATAGCACCCAACATGTAGGTCAATATAAGTATCATCCCCCGTAGGCAAAATAGTGACCACTTGATAAGCACAAAACCATTGAATATAATCTTTCCAAAATATATCTCAAAACCACTTCATGGTATATAGTCATCCATCATATATACTATAAAGAGTGTAAAAACATGTTCATAAATAGTATATAGTCATCCATCATATATACTACAAAGAACATTAATTCGATAAAGTATGGTATTCCAAAATATTCTCAGTAAAGCATGATAATCATATAATGTAAATCTAGCTTACACACAAACGTTTCATAAAACGTAACTATTGAATCATGATTTTCATGTATGCATTTATACTATTAAAGCATGCATTTTAGACCCGTAGGTCAATATAAGTATCAATCGCCCATAGGCTCCTATAGCACCCAACATGTAGGTCAATATAAGTATCATCCCCCGTAGGCAAAATAGTGACCACTTGATAAGCACAAAACCATTGAATATAATCTTTCCAAAATATATCTCAAAACCACTTCATGGTATATAGTCATCCATCATATATACTATAAAGGGTGTAAAAACATGTTCATAAATAGTATATAGTCATCCATCATATATACTACAAAGAACATTAATTCGATAAAGTATGGTATTCCAAAATATTCTCAGTAAAGCATGATAATCATATAATGTAAATCTAGCTTACACACAAACGTTTCATAAAACGTAACTATTGAATCATGATTTTCATGTATGCATTTATACTATTAAAGCATGCATTTTAGAAGGGGTCCACTCACAAATACTTCACCGTCGAAGAGCCACGTAAACTAGCGAAGACGAAAGCGTCACAATAAATGCACCTAAGCACATAAAGGGTCCAATTAATAAAGCTATACTCAAACGATTGAATTTCGGAAAATAGACATTAGAAACGGATTCAAGACGTCGAAGTACCTTAAGAAAGGTCCTGGGTAAATTTTGAAAAAGTCAACAAAAAGTCAATATTCCTTTGAATGTTCCAACTGGGTCGAGTTAAAGGGTTTGGGCCGGTTTTTCTTTTAGGTTTGGGCTTGTTTCTCAGTGGGTTTGGTAGCCCAGCCCAAAGGTTTGGGCTCCTGGGTTGGGACTCATGGGTTAAGGACTTGGGTTGGGCTCAACTTAAAAGGCCAAGGTCTGACCCGAGGTCCATGGCCCAAAGACCTGGGCCAGTTCAGGGTAAAAGGGTTTTGGGTTGGCACGGCCCAACGGCCTGGTTTCGACTGAAAAAGGAAGTCGGAGCTTCCAAGCTCCGATCAACCCCAAAACGTGACCAAAACATGTCGAACAAAATACCAAAATGAAACCCAAAAAACAAGGAAAAGATCTATACCAATTTCACGACATGTGGTGGTCGAAGTTGGCCGGAAATTGGTCTCGAACCCACGGGTACTCCTTAGAAAATATGGAGAATGCTTCCCCGAGTTGTTCCTGCGTTCAAACGTTACCAAGGTTCTCAAAACTACCCTAAACTAACCTCAAACATGATCTAAATGGATCCTATGAGGCTTACCTTAGTTCCACTATTGAAAACTTGCCGGTGAGATGCCAGCACAATGACTATGCTCCAATGTAGGCCAGGAAAAGAGGGAGAGTGATCGGGGGACGGGTGAAGGATAAAAGGATGGTCCAAGGGGTGGTGGCTATGTGTGAGTGTCTCGGAGTGGGGAGGCCGGTGGTGTGAAGGGTGTTTCTGTGTGTGTTTGAAGAAGGGAAAGGAGGGAGTGACAGAGAGAGGTGAGAGAAAGAGAGTGATGAGGGAGGTTAAGGGGAAGGGAGAGGAGAATGAGAGTTGGGCCGGGGGGGGAGGGACAATACCCAACAGAAGTGGCTCTACCAGGCACACAAATTAAGACCCAAAAACACTTTTCAAAAATATCTAGCTCACTCCAGAGGAATTTACCGAAAATACCCTTCCATTCTATAAAATCTGGGGCGGGTTGTCACAAGTTGTAGAATGTTGAACAAAACGAACAGGGCAAGGGGTAGATCCATCAACAAATCCCATAATACCATGACCTTCCAACAACAATTGTATTTGAAATTGCCAATTTAGGTAATTGGAATCATCCAATTTCACATGAACTGAGGTAGAAACAGTGGAAATAAAAGAGGTTATGGGAGATTGAACAATCTGGAGTTCATAAAGAGTCACCATAATTGTGTATAGCAATTGGAGAATAACAGAAGCAAGCAACAATATCACAAACACCTTGCGTGCAGAAAATACCAATCTTTGAGAGAATCAAAGATTATTGTCATAGAAACCCTAGAAATCGAATTAGAAAATACCAATCTTTGAAGAAGCATAGCACCAATAGCAGGAATTGCTGTGAGAAGAAGACAAAGTACTATGCGATCAAATCGTAGCAGAAGCAATTAGAGGATCGAAGATGCGCGAGCAACACCGGCGATGGATACTATGTTAAGCATCAGCCATTAATCAAGAAATGATGAAATTTAGAGAGAGACTGTAAATTGTATTACTATTGCTTAACTAAGAAGTTATTACATCACAACTGTTATTTATAGTAAAGCCATACATCATAACCGGAATCGTAACTAACTACTCCTACATTGAGTTGACAAGTGGCACTATATCTACCATTGATTATACTCTATTTTTATAAGAATATATCACAAGGTAGAATCTCTCATTCGGAGCGTCATTTTTTTGAATGGCTAAAGGAGACAGTTTGTACAATACGATGATAGAGTTCTTAACAGCAATACCACCTGCTTGAAATCAGTTAAAACATGTGTTGAAGGAGAAGTTTCGCAACCGTTGGGAGTTTCTCCTTTTCTTAAATTATGTCTTTCCGTTTGTTTACGGTGAAGCTGTTCAAATAGACTGTTTCACTTTGGTGTTAATAATCATGATTTGTGTGATTAGCTGAAGAACAGACTGTATTGATTGTCTGCACTGCATATACATGCCACTTTTTCCATTCTGAATCTGTGCTTTTGTGGGAACCTTTTACATTACACAGTTTGGTCCCTGACTCTAGTCATGAATCAAGGTGAACGGGATTGTCAATATTTAGCATTATTTTTATTCATTTTTCAAGCGATATTGAGGATAGAATCAAATAGACATCGAGTACAGGGTGAATGCAGTTAACTACTTGAACGGCAAGCTCCTTGCTTGGCACGATTATATCGTGTCCCAGATCGTGACAACCGATACTACTACTACAATCCCAAACAACACAACCAGAAACTTGTAATGGGGTGTATCAATGGAGACTGCCATGTGAGCTGTATAGCCCTTTAAAAGCAGATGGTTTATGGATACGTAGATGAACACGCCGCATGCCAGACCTATCGAAATGGCGGAGATCCAATCCGCCTTCTACCTTGAGTTGTGCCCAACTCCGATACCAGTTGGACTGGAAATGGAGGCAGAAAACCATATGCCGGGCATGATAAGAAGGGACGGTCCAGAATCATTGAACTGGAGGGTCACTGTCCTGCTTAGTATACACATACGAAACCACAGAAAGTCTTGTTTGAATCAATCTGAAAAGTGCATTAGAGCTGTTCCCAGAAAAATACCACCAGCAAACTGTGAGCCTAGAACCAGAAACCCCTCGTTCCACTTTAAGAAGTAGGACTACATTCCGGCTGCAAATGTCCCCAAAAAAAAACCGTGCACAAATCTTTACGAATATTAGAGGCTTGGTGCGAAAGCTGCGAATGTCGTTGTTCTTGTTGGTTTCACTTTCAACATCGCCGTGGCTGCCATAGGCGAATGTGGAGAGGGTGAGGAAGTGGAAGAGGAAGAGAGAGAGAGAGAGAGAGCTTGAGGAAATTGTAGCAAGCCATGTTCTACTGGTGCATGAGAAAAAGTTGAAGGTTTGGATTGTAAGCATCACATAACATAGCATAGGATCACAGTTATTGACATGCATCAAGAAGTGAATGAACACAATACACCCTTGGCAAACTGCGTGCCAAGAACCAAGAACCCTTGGTTCCATTTAAAGAAGTAGAGCAACGTTCTGGCTCCAAATGTCCGTACAAACACCAAAACCAAGCACTAAATCTTCACCAATATTAGAGGCTTGGAGGGAAGGGTGTGAACGTTGTCGCTCTTGTTGCTTTCATCGTCGTCTTGCCCACCGTTGGCCCAGGATGAGGCAGAGGAGGAGAGAGAGCTTAAGAAGATTGTAGCAAGCCATTCTGCAGTGGTGCATGAAAAATGATCAGTTCAGTGTGTTATTATACAGCATGTGTTATGGACAGAATCTTAGGAATGAATCAATACGATCTGAAGATTCTAATCAAAGGATTTTGAGAAGTGAATCTTGTGCGAATCAAACAGAAGAAATGGAGTACACAAGACGATGGCATTAGGCTGTAGTTCAATGGCATTAGGATACGCTGCTTTACCTGGAAAGGCCAAGGGACTTGTCATAAATGGTTAAGGATGTTTACTCCTGCGCCTGAGGTACTGAGCTCGAATCCTCTTCCCCAAATATTGCTTATATATATAAACCCGGAAAGCATCTGTTTATAACTGTATCCATATGCATACAAAATAAAAATATTTGGAGATCATTACAACACTGCTCTCTATCCTGAACTAATAACTTATGATAGCAAAAATCTAAATAAAACCAAAATCACATCTACCAACCCCTTGACTTGCTACTAACAAATCTATACTTCCGAACGCTTTCTTCCACAAACAAATCGTGCACGAACAATGACTTCAAGTGTCCCAAATCATCACAACAGCTATTACCCCAATACCCAACAAAACTGCCAGAAACTTGTACTGGGGTTTGTCGACTGAAACTGCTCTGTCGGGTCTATAGCCCTTCGCCAATAAATGATTTATTGCTACGTATATGAACACTCCACATGCTAGACCCATTGAAATCGCAAATATCCAATCAGCCACAGCTCCTTGGGTTGTCGCATCTATTAGGATTCCGATTGCCACACCAATAGGACTTGAAATAGCAAATGCAAAAGCGTAGGCAGCGCATGATAAGAAGGGACGGTTAGGCATCATTCGAAGGAGAGCAATGCCCATGGCAATGGCCGCAAATACCTTGTGAAGAGAAATAGTCCATAAGGCTTTCCAAGCATCGGCTTTAGTCTCAGCGACTCCAATTGCAATGCCCTCAAACACAGAGTGGAAACACAAGGCTACTATCAACAAGATGCTGTCCCCAAGTGAAGTAGCGCTTGCAACCACTGCATTTGCAAAGTGGTTATGGCTCTGCCGGGTCAATCAAAAACAAGTTTCGAGTTAGTCGCAGAACCGCCACCAAAAAATCCCCCAATGGGCCAATACATATGGAAACCTGATACGATTACCACCAGAAGATATATGAAATTAGCAAGTATATACTTACCTGAGTGCCATATTGACCACCCTTTCCCTGCTCGATATTACCTGTAGTGAAAAATAAACTATCACTTGACTGTCTTAGTTTTACAGTCAACCTCAAGCCTAGTTTTGCTTCATAAATTATTGTCGCAATCACAAATCTCAGCAAAAACACACATACAGTTCGTTTAGTGGCACCCCCGTCTCCAGTTTGTTAAGTTTGAGGAGGTCGGAGTTCAAATCTCATAGACTACATTTGTTACTAAAAAACAAAAATCCAACATCAAACAGTTGTTTATTCAAGGACTGATTTTCAGCACACTTTTTGTGCCTTTATAATTTTATATTTCTGGTCATCGAACTGAATAATTCAAACGAAAAAAGGCAGAAGGTGATTTTCACATTTTTTTAGCTACTCGCACACCCTCCATATATTTCTATTCTTGTAGCCATCGGATTTCAAAGAATCAAACAAAATCAACGGAAATGATTAGAGAGGGTGTGTGAAAGGCTGAAAAGTGTGCGTGTTTATCATTTCCCGTTCAAGAAATTTAACACACTGAGCAAGCAAAGAGAACAAAATATAAAATACCAAAAGCACTTACCCTGAACCTGAAGATCAGCAGCCGACACACCACTCTTATTCTTGAGGAACACATAGGAAATGACACAATCAGCAAGCATTGTAAGCAAGAATCCCCCACAAGCCAACATAAATGCAGAAGGGTATTCTTTTTCGGTCAAGTCCTTGAAAGTCTCATTGGAATCACTCAGAAAGTGCATCATCGCCGTACCAAAAAACACACCTCCAGCAAACTGCGTACCCAAAACCAAGAACCCTTCATTCCACTTGAAGAAATAAGGCGAAACTCCGGGTACGAACGTCCCAAAAAATATTATGATGAGGCACCAAATCTTGACTAGTATTAGAGGCCTCGAACGGAGGTCATGCGGGGTTTCGCTGTCGTTGGTGGCGGGTTCAGTTTCGTCGTCGTCGTCGTGGCCGCTGTGGGCTAAGGCGGGGATGGTGAGGCAAAGGAGGAGGAGAGAACAGAAGAGGAGTAAGCGAGGGAGAGGTGGAGCCATCGTTGTTGACTTGCGGGTTTGGAGAGGAGGGAGAGAGGGGGATTGGGTTTAACGGATTTACATGTGGGTGTGGTTATAAATGGTGGGGGTTGAAATCTGAAGGTTTGGTTGTAGTACAAATTTTTGGGTGAAAAAAAAAATGTGTTGTACGAAGAAGATGAAAGTGGTAAATATGGGAAGAGGGGTTTGTACTACAATCCATACAATACGTTGTTGTATGATAACGACTCAAACAGTTGTTATTTCCGGAGAATTTTTTGTGACGTAGGATTTGAGAAATGGGTGGTGGATTTTGGTTTTCAAACGTCTATCCACAACTTGACTTGGAGTCAACGTACGCAATCGCTTTCTGTTTCTTGTGTGGGGTTGGAGAGTTTCATGAATTACTTATTTTTATTTATTTTTTTGGTTTTGTTGGGGAAGATTCCATGAACCTTATTTTGTAAAACAAAAATGCTACTTTAACCATCAAATTATATCATTATTTGTATCATCTCTAATAGAAAGAAGATTCATATGCGCTAGTGAACTCTATCTCGATTAGAAAAAGAGTACAACTGATGGTATTACCAGATGGTTAGTATAGCATTACTTTTTATAAAATGACAAATATCTTGTCACACACACATAGAAATTCACAAGAGCATCAAACAAAAAAAAATCACAAGAACCAGTCTTGTTTTCTATAATTCGATGGAACATTTCTTACCACTTCTATAAGAATATTATCATAAGGTAACATCTTTTATTGAAAGCGTCATTTTTTTCAAGTTCTTTAGAAAGTGATGTAAGTTTTGTCTTTATGAGCGTTATTTTTTGGTTGCTTGGATGTTATGTAGTTAGGTTTGTATTGTTTTTATATTGCATTTGTTATTATGAATTTGTATTCCTTATCAATGATGTTCACTTTTTTTTTTTAATTAATCAAATGTTATTTACCTTCGAGAAAACTGGTTGACATACGTACAATGATATATATTATTTATTCAAAAAAGTGGAGTATAAATTGCAATCTACTATATTAAAACATAATATCTACCATAGTTACAAATTACGATGAATATCACAGCTACACCTATAAGCTATAGGATGATCCACAAGAAATAGGACAGGATTTGAACCTATGGCCTGGCTCAAGCCACACCGACAATGTTTATAATATTTTCTTTTTTCAATTTAATAATGGTTTATTTTTCTAAGAATGTAGACACACACCCGACTTTTCCTAGGGTCGGGACACAACACACAATTTCTATAATTTTTTAGTCATTTTTGTCCGAACATGTGCCCCTTATCTATGATTTTCATATGTTTAATCATTGTTGAATACACACTTGGTTGTTTGACGTTTAATATACATATCACTAATAACGTTAAGATGGCAATTGAAAAGTATGCATCATGTCAATGTCCAAAAAACTGATGGAGTACCAATTGGACGTTGGCTCAACGGCACAGCTGTGAAAATGCATTGCTTGACGGCAAAGCTAATTCCTTGAGTGGAATTCTTCAAGGAACAAATCGACAAGAACAAAGTCTACCATTAACTATGGTTCCATGTATTTGTTTTTAAGAATAAACGCGTTTTTAGTTTTGGTTTCTGTATAAATAGTCTGAACTAATGGATACAAAAAACTGACCTTGTGTTTCTATGCTTAGTTTCATGCCCTGAATTCACTTCTGTTGTCCGTTTGGCATGATTCTGTTGTTTGATCATAGTTTCGTAAATGGCCGCCACTTGACCTCTGTAGTAGACGAGGATCCAACTGTTGGATCATTATGAAAATATAGTATGTTGTTTATATGTATTATGAGAGGACCTTAGAAATTTACAGGTCATAAATCCGATGTATGTATCTTCCGGATTGAATAATCTTAGATTAATAACCTTTGTAGTATACGAGGATCTGACCGTTGGATCATTATGAAATTATAGTATGTTACTATACGCATTATATGAGGACCTTAGAAATTTACATAACGGAAATCTAACGTTCGAATCCTCCGAATTAGATTACTAGGGTTGTTGACCATACCGTTGACCCCGTTGACTAAGGATTGACTTTTGGTCAAAATGTTCTGAATCGTTCTCAAATACTGAAATGAACCTTACTAGATATCTCATAGAGCCTAGTGGGTCTACCTTGGCCAGCGAGCCATCCTGAGGGATGTATGCTTCGGTTTGCATGTGATTGGCACCTTAGTGAAATTTATGTGATTGTTGAACTTCTAGATGATATAATGATATGTGTGATTGCTAGTATGAAAGATGAGCATGAAACCATATTAGAAGTATTATGTAGAACTTATATGTTTGTATGACAATATATTTGGTTAGTCACATGGGATTGATAGTGTATTTACTCACATGTAAATCATAGGTGTTGAGTTGAAGTAAGAGGTGTGATGTGTGATGATGTGACTGCACCATGTAGCAATGTGGTACATGGATGGTCCTTCTTGGTATATTCGTGACGGGGGACTATACATTCTTTAAGGGTGATCATGCTTGGTATATCTGCGATGAGTGATCACTACCTACGCTATTAGACTATTATATACCTATGGTTCTGCTTCCACTGGCAAAGCTACAGAGGAGCAAGGAGGGCTTGCCACCCCTATCCTCACCGGAAATCAAGCCTATGAGTCGTGGTTTCTACCCCTCTGGTCATGTCAGAAGTGATAGTTACTCAGCATGCTCTCTGGTTTTCTGCTGCTACAACAAAGTGTGTTAATTTTTTATTTTTTTTAAATCTTTAAGCAAAATGACGCTGTTTCATTTTGTGATCTAAAAAAAAGTAAGTGGGACGACGTGTGAGCCTTTAGCCTGTTACCTTTTCACCTCGTTCCCCTATTTCCAGAACAAATCAAAGCACATAACTCTCAGAGGTTCATTCTTTTCCAATTCAATTAGTTTTTGCACAAATGGGTTTTCTGGGTATTTGAATTTTGTGTTTCATGAGCAATTTCGAGTTGAAAGATTTGATATATTTTTTTCATTTGGGGATTCCCAATTGCGTAATTGATCAGTTAATATTGAAACTCTAGGCGTCTGATGCTTCGTCGTCAAACAACGAAATTAGGAGTGGGTCACCGGCAGAGTTTGATAGTCTCCTCCACCTATCTCCAGGTGTTTGATAATCTTCCTCCATCTATCTCTCATACTGCTTTTTGCTAAACTTTATACACACTCCACGTGTTTGATTTAATGCCTCAAAGAATTATCTGACGAATCAATTTCCGGGGGCAATGTGAATCAAAATGGGAATGAACATGGTGGTAATTATGAGTATACCGTTGTTGATGTTGAGGTAGTGAATGAGGAAAGTGAGGGTAATAGAGATGAAGGGGAGCTAGCAAAATGTTCAATACAAAGGTATTGAACTTCGTCTAGGGGATTTCGTTTTCTACAGTGTTATCTTGGCATTATTTCGGGACTCGAGTGCGCTCTTATTTTGTGGTCAGTGTAACATCGAGCTTTGCCAGCTCTACCCATATCTATCATCTTGGGTGTCGTTTTTTACTTCTCAACTCGGTTACTAATGGAGCCTTTTGTTATTGGGATAGTTACAACTTGTTGATATTTTGATAGTCCATTTGTTTTTGGTAAGAGAGAGATTATATTTGAGCGGAAGCTGATATCCGAGCTAATTTTTGTTGCTACTGAATTCTCTATTAAATGGGTTTTGAAATTATAAGTTCATCGATAATGTCTATTGGTTTGTAATGGTGGATCAGAGTATATAAAAAGGATTCGGCAGTCTAAATTTGTGTTGAACGAAATTAATATTGTCCATTATCTAAAAGGATTTAGTTGTCTAAATTTTTTTTCTAATGACCCGTCCCCAAAAATTACAGTTTTTATAATTTTAATATGAAAATTTACGAAAATGCCCTCCGAGGCAAAACGTTGACTTTTGTTGACCACCTTGTCGTGTCATGTAAGATCCATTTTCTTGGCGTATCCTTGTAGTACTCGTCGTTACAAACGCGTGAGCGCAAACAAAACGTAATTTGGAGTTATAACGAAGGATTTATTAACAAACAAAGTCGAGGGCAAAATGGTCATTTGACCATAAATCTGGAAGGCTCCAGATTTTGTTGGAGCTGTGAGATAATGCCACGTTTGTGGCTGGGATGGAAAGAAATGAAGAGAAATAAGAAAGATGGACAAATGGGAGAGGAGAAATAAAACAAAAGGATGGGGTGCTGCCTAATCAGGAAGGAGGAAAGGAGATAGTGACCAATGAGGAAAGAAAGAAAGGAGGGAAGGGAGAAAGAATGAGAAGCACCAGATCCCTCGACCCGGCTCCATGTTGCGACTCGGTTCTTGATGACCGTTTCTGTTGATTTTTCCGTCATTTTTCCAGTGATCTAAGGCTTGCCACCACCTGCACTCGACTCCACGACCCTTATTCTTCAAGTTCCACTACAAACCCAATAGTTTTTGTCTTGGTTTCATGGGGATAGCACCGGTAGCACCGTGGGGAGATCGGCGACAATTCGCCGTTTTTGCAAGTACCACCACCCATAAGTTTTGGGGCGTCGGAGTTCGATTTGAGGACGAATTAGAAAGTACCCATTTATAGGGTTCTAGCGGATCGAGAGTGATTTGAGGTGTTTCTTGACCGAATTGGACTTCGGCCTAGGTATGAAAGTTGTTCCTCTCATTGAGATCTACTTGCTTGTAAATTTGGTAATTTTTAGAGTTAGTCGAAAAATTGGGTTTCCGTTCGCCGGAAACCACCACATGCGGCGGCGTGTGGCCTTATGGCCGCCTCTCCGTGGTGGCGCATGGCCTTCCAGCCGCCTCCCCGTGGTGGCGCATGGGGTGAACCCGAGGTCCCTCCTTAGGTTTCTCGACGTGCCGAGTCCGAATCCGTCGTCTGTTTTCCCAAATTCGACCATTTTAGTAGAGTTTTACTAAATGGTCTCGATGTGCATTTAGGTGCATCGGTGGAAGTGATCCCGTTCAAGCTAATTCGAGCGGCTATCGGGCAATAAAATATTTGTGAGTGGTAGCCTAGCATGCATTGCATATTTTATGAATGGAGCATGATTTATAATATGTTTTACGGATTTTCATACTT